GTCACCTCCCCCACCCCAGCCCACCCTCCTTCCTACCTTGGTCTGATTCTCCAGTCCCCGGAGGAAAGTCTTGTCACCATTCTCATACAGGAGCCCAAAGCGCACGTACGCCACCCCCTGCACTGGCTTCCCGTAGATGTACCTGCAGCCACAGAGCAACGGGGAAGGGGGGATGAGGGCGTGGCCTGGGCGGAGGGGCCGGGAGGGAGGGAAGTGATGTTGGCACTGAAGGGGGAGCCCTGGCAGGTTACCTGGCCTGGATGTCTAACTGGATGTCACCGAGAACGCCAGCTGCTGTCAGGATGTAGGGCTCCCCAGGGATGATCTTCACCTCAAAGTTGGGAAGGACTGACCCAGGGCAAAGGGGCAGGCTGGTCAGACTCCAGGGGAAGGGCCCTGGAGGACTCCCTCCCGCAGGGGGCGGCACCCAGGTCGCCCACCCCTGCCTGTTCCCACCCCCTTCCTGCCTTCTCCCTCCAGGAAAGGAGCTGCCTGGCCCTCCTGTCTCCAGTGTCTCCAGCTCTCACCGTACTTCTTTTTGTTTTGTTTTGTTTATCCTCACTCGAGGATATTTTTCTATTGATTTTTAGAGAGTGGAAGAGAGAGGAAAAGACAGTGAGAAACATCGATGTGAGAGAAACACATCGATTGGTTGCCTCCTGCACCGCCCTGACCAGGGCCAGGGCTGGGGAGGAGCCTGCAACCAAGGTCCTCGACCAGAATCGAACCCGGGACCCTTTAGTCTGCAGGCCGACGCTCAACCCACTGAGCCACACCGGCCGGGCTCTCACCATACTTCTTCACCTCGAACTGGGTGCTGTGGTTGGAGTCCGGGCTGTCCGAGAATCTGGCCGAGATCCTCCAGGTCCCTGGCCTGAGGACAGACAGGGAGGGGCTCAGCCCGCGTGTGCAGAGGGCCTGGGAGAGCCAGCCAGCTCCCTGGGGAAGGGTGTGGGGTGAACCACAGGCGGGGAGCTCGGGGCTGACCCTGTGTTGGAGTGGGGAGCAGGGCAACCGGGAACTGGGGCAAGAGCTCACTCTGAGATGTCGGGGATCACAAAGTCGTCCTGGAAGATGGACGAGGGAGCGTACACCTGCCTCTTCCGCACAAGGAGGCCCTGAGAGTTCTGCGACGGGGGAAAGGGGTCGTGGGAGGGAGGTCAGATCAGTAGCCCCAGCTGGTCAGGAAGGTCAGAGGTCAGGGACTCACCTCCACGGTGACTGTGAGGCTGTCTGTGGATGGGCGCATCTTTTGATCCAGAGCAAAGACCCGGTACCGAACTGGAGCGGAGGGTGAGGGGAGCAGCAGTGACGGGCAGGGAGTGAGGGGAGAGCAAACGTTTGCCAGGCGCCTTCCAGGCGGCACCTTCCGGCCATTTCAGGTAAGGGGGCGGGGGCTAGGGCTGGGGTTAGGGGGCTGAGACTCACCCCGCTGGCCAGGGTTATAGATGGGCTGGTCGGTCTGCAGGAAAAGGTGCCCCCGGCGAGAGGAGAAGAGCAGGTTGATGCCCTGAGTGTCCACGTTTTTGGACAGAGCGCTCTTCAGCCATGGCGACTGGGCCACCAGCTGGATCTTGGGGCCTCCTCGGAGGCTTTTGAGGCCACAGCTGTCGGCACCGTTGGGGAGTATCTGTCAGGCGAGGGGGAGGGAAAGGGAGCGGGTCAGAGACAGAGCAGGAGAAAGCCAGAGGCTGGACGGCCAGGGAAGGAGGCCGCCAGCAGATGACGCCAGAGGCGGCGGGGATGCGCGGGCGCCAAGCACAGCAGGACAGGTGCGGCCAGCTACCTGGAGGCTGCGGAGAACGAAGTCCTGCTCCGAGGTGAGGAGGAAGTCCACCTTCGGGGAGCAGGGGGCATTGTGATGGGACGGGTTTCTCAGGAACAGGAACCCTCTCACTTCCTGTCCCCGAGGAGCATCCTGGAGCTGGAGCCCCACCGACAGGGGGGCCCCCAGGTGAACCACGGAAGGAGAAAACAGGAGCAACCTGGGGAGAACAGGCAGGTCAGCAGCGGCCCCACCGGCCCCCAGCCCGCCCGCTCAGCCGCCGCCGCGCCAGGACCTGGGCTCCTGCAGAGACAAGGCGAAGCTGGCCGCCCAGATCAGCCCCCAGAGGAGCCGCATGGCTGCAAGACCAGGAGCGATCAGACCCGTGCGTCTGTCTGCTCCTCTCTGGTTGGCCTCGGGCTTGGAGCAGAGTAGACTCTGGACCTTGCTCCTCCCCTGGGCCAGCTAAGCTGGGAAACCACGTGACAACCAAGAAATGCAGCTGGCCCCAGGCCCAGTGTTGGGGGCAGGGGGGCACCTGGACACCTGGGTCACTGAGGAAATCATGGCCCAGAGGTCCTGTTCTCCCCGCCCTCCCCGCCCTCCCCTCCCGTTAGCCCCTCATGCCAGTGCCTGGGCACTTCCCCTCCTGGGCATGTGTGGTGTCTGTGTACCGCTCGGCAGCCTGGGCGGAGCACCGGGCAGAGAATCCGGGCTCCTTTGCCAAGGCCGACAAAACACGGCGATAAGATGCGGCCTCCCATTGTGAGCCCCACAGAAGGGAACTTCGTGAGGCCTGTGCTTCTCAGAAACCCCTCACCACCCCCCAAGGACACTGACCTCAACACCCCTTTTCCTCTGAACAATGAGGCCACGTTTAGGCCCAGTTGTGGCTTTACCTCTACCCCCGAGCGAGGAGCCACCCACCACATTAGACAAGACACCAGATAGGAGCACCAGCAGAAGCACTTTATTTGGGCCGTTTCAATTCAACATGGAGGGGCAGAGAACCGCGCGACCCTCACCTGCCCCTCGGAAAACCCCGCCTTCCTACCCCACGACAGTAACAGTAGCCACCGTGTCTGCCCGGGGAGGCAGCAGCCACGGCCCTGGCATGGGGTCTTGGCTCCAATGTCCACAGGCCCCGAAGCACGGCCCAAACCCGCCCTTGGCCCGGAGCCCAGGTCAACAACCGCAGGTAAAGCCTGGCCCTGCACGTTCTCGGGTGCATCGCGCATCCTCCTGGCCCAGCTTTCGCAAGATGACAATAGCTCGGCCACCGCTGGGCAGCACGCCTGGCCCCAGGTCCGGCTCCGGGAAGGCTTGTCGCGGTGA